TTATGGGTTTCATTTCTTTGGTAAATATAAACGTGTTCAGAAGGTATGTTTTATTTTTGTGCCAATCCCAGGTCTTGAACTGGGGGTCTGGGATCTGTCTCTGATCTTCTTTTACTCAAGGATGGTGCTCTACCACTTAAGCCACACCTCCAGTTTGGGCTCTTTGGTAGTTGATTGGAGATAAGAGTCTCATCACCTTTGCTCTCTGGGCCTGATTTGAACTGCAGCCCTCAGATCTCAGCCTCCTTCTGGAAATAGAGCTGTGGCTCAAAGTGGTAGAGTGCTAGCCTTGAGCAAAAGACTCAGGGACAGTGCCCAGGCCCTGAGTTTAAGTTCCATGACCCCCCAGAAAAAGGTCTTCTAAGACGTATTTCATCTGGGTTGTCTAATTTGTGGGTATAGAGTTGTTTGTAATACTCCATTTACCAACATGTTAATAGCTAGTGATCTGTTATTTAATTCCGTGTGTGTGTGTGTGTGTGTGTGTGTGTGTGTGTGTACTACAGCTTTAACTGAGAACTTCAGGTTCTTGCTTGTCTTTTCCTATCGAATCTGGTGCTCTAGCACTTGAACCATACCTCCGTTTTTTGGCTTTTTGCTGATTAATAGGAGATGATAGTCTCTCATATTTGTGTGCCCTGACTGGCTTTGAACCATCATCCTCAGATCTTCTGAGTAGGATTACAGATGCGAACCTCCACTTGCCTGGCTTTTGTATTTTACTTCTAACAGTGATTTATGTGCTTTTAGCCTGGCTAGGATATAATCCGTTTCATTGATTTCTTTTTTTCCCCTCCCAAATTCGGTTTTTGTGGTGATTTTTTTTATCTGTTGAGTTTTCTTGTTTTCAATTTTATTTATTTCTTCTCTAATACATATTTGCTTCAAATTTAATTTTGCCTTTTTCTTGGTTCTGAAGCGGAGATAACTTTTAGATCTGTCATCTGATACAGGCGTTCAATGTTATATAAATTGAAGCATTGATTTTTGCTGCTGAATCTCCCCCAATTTTGATAAGTTGTGTTTCTATTTGCATTTAGTTCTTAATGCTTTTTACTTTTCTTGAGATTCAATCATTAACCTATGTGTTAGTTTGGAATATGTTTGATCTCTGTGTATTTTGGGTAATCTATCTCATCTTTTTATTTTTTGTCAAGTCTTGGGGTCTGAACTCAGAGTCTGGGTGCTGTCCCTGAGCTTTTTCATTCAAGGCTAGTGCTCTACCACTTTGAGCCACAGCACCATTTCTGGCCTTTTCTATGTGGTACTGAGTAATTGAACCCAGGGCTTCATGCATGCTAGGCAAGCACTCTACCACTAAGCCACATTCCCAGATCCTGTCTCAGCTTAATTTTTTTTAATTATTGAGGTGTTGTACAGAGGGGTTATCATTTCATAAGTCAGGTAATGAGTACCTTCTTTTTTCGTTGGTCATGGGGCTTGAACTCAGGGTCTGGGCTGTGTCCCTGAGCTCTTTTGCTCAAGGCGAGCACTCTATCACTTTGAGCCACAGCTTTACTTCCAGTTTTCTGGTGGTTCATTGGAGGTGAGAGTCTCATGGGGACTTTTCTGCCCAGGCTGGCTTCAATCTGCGATCCTCAGATCTCAGCCTTGTGAGTAGCTAGAATGACACCGGGAGCCACCGGCATTGGTTTTGATTTCTAGTTTAATTTTATTGTCCTCTGATAGTTGACATGTGTGAATTCTTAGTTGAGATTTGTTAGGTTTATTTTTCTTTTATTTTATTGTGCTAGTCCTGGGCTTGAACTCAGGGCCTGGGTGCTGTCTCTGAGCTTTTTGGCCACATTTGGTGGTTCATTGGAGGTAAAAGCCTTATGGACTTTCTTGTCTGGGCTGGCTTTGGTCTACGATCCTCAGATCTCAAACTTCCTGAATAGCTAGGTTTATAGGTATGAGCCACCAGCTCCTGCCTGCTGGGTTGTATTTTATGGCCCAGAACATGGACTGTCTAGGTAAACCTTCCATGTGAACTTGAGAACAATGAGTATTCCAGCCAGGCACTGGTGGCTCACGCCTGTAATCCTAGCTACTCAGGAGGCTGAGATCTGAGGATCGAGGTTCAAAGCCAGACCCCATAGGAAAGCCCATCAGATTTTTTTTTTGTCAGTTGTGGGGCTTGAACTCTGGGCCTGGGCCCTGTCCCTCAGCTCTTCAGCTCAAGGCAAGCGCTCTTGAACCACAGCACCACTTCTGGTTTTCTAGTGATTCTTCGGAGGTAAGAGTCTCATGGACTTTCCTGCCTGGGCTGGCTTTGAACGGTGATCCTTAGATCTCAGCCTCCTGAGTAGCTAGGATGACAGGCGTGAGCCACTGGCACCTGGTTGTCTATTAGATTCTTACCTCCAATAAATTACCAAAAAAGAAAAAAGCCATAAGTGGAGCTGTGACTCAAGGGGTAGAACATTAATCTTGACCCAAAAAGTTTAGGGAGGTACTCAAGCCCTGAGTTCAAGTCTTAGGACCAGAAAAAAAAAAGTTAAATAAGCAAGCACACTTCTATGTTTAACCCAGTGGCCAACACCCAGTGTTGACCTTACAGTAAAACAGCTGGTAATGTTGTTTCTGCAGTAAAAGGAAATCATTTAAAAAAAAATGTTGTCTTCCGTGTCTCCTTTTAAAGGAAAGGAATGACATTTGTCTCCATTGTCCTGAAGGCTCTCTGGTATCTCTTTAGGCTGGAAATATCTTCTGCACAGATCTGGCCTAGATTCGAAGTTGGCTTGTGTAGGTCAGACAGACATCTCCCGAAGCCTTTGGTTCCCAGAGCCTCAGCACAACACGTGTCCGAGTTCTGCACATTCTGGGTTTGCAGCCAAGGCCTGGGTGGTGTAGCTTCCTTCTGCAGCTGTAGTTTAAATGAGAAACAGTCTACCTCCTCAACAGGAATTTCAGAAGAATCCTAGATTTAGAAACGGGATTATTTTTTTCCCCTTTTATTGGCCATGAAGCTTGAACTCAGGGTCTGGGAGCTGTCTTTGAGCTCGTTTTGTTCAAGGCAAGAGCTCTACTACTCTAAGCCAACACGCCACTTACTGGTTTTTGAGTGGGTCGTTGGAGTGGGCGCTGGTGGCTCACACCTGTCATCCTAGCTACTCAGGAGGCTGAGATCTAAGGATCACGGTTCAAAGCCAGCCTACTCAGGAAAGTCCATGAGACTCTTCTCTCCAATGAACCATCAGAAAACCGGAAGTGGCGCTGTGGCTCAAGTGGTAGAGTGCTCGCCTTGAGCTGAAGAGCTGAGGGACAGCGCCCAGGCCCTGAGTTCAAGACCTACAACTGACAAAAACAAAAGACCAAAACAAAACAAAAAAAACTATGCATGCATTGGCTTGAGCTTGCTGGTTTGAGAATGGATGGGAGAATGACATGAATGTCCTTTGTAGAATGAGAGGCAGTCTATTGCACTGAATCCTGCTGGGTTCCTACGCTTCATGCCTGACATCTTAGCTACCTAGGAGGCTGAGATCTGAGGATCATGGTTCAAAGCCAGCCTGGGCAGGTAAGTGCATGAGATTCTTAGCTCCAGTAAACCACCAAAAAAAAAAATCTGGAAATGGAGATGTGGCTCAAGTGGTAGAGTGCTAGCCTTCAGCAAAACAAACCTCAGGAACAGTGCCCAAGCCCTGAGTTTAAGCCCAAGGATAAGGGAAAAAAGTCCTGTGTATTTCATTGAATGCTGATTTATGATAGGTATCTTTTTCATTCTCATGATCAGGTTTTTCAAAATCCTGGTCCTAGCTGATAGAACAGCGTATAGATCATGCGCACTTCATATTTTTTCGTATGTCTATTCTGCTTGCTAGGCAGGTGCTTTTACCACTTGAGCCACAACTCCCATAGTTGTTTTTTTTGGTCGGTCATGGGCCTTGAATTCTGGACTTGGGCGCTGTCCCTCAGCTCTTCAGCCCAAGGCAAGTGCTCTACCGCTTGAGCCACAGCACCACTTCTGGTTTTCTGGTGGTTCATTGGAGATAAGAGTCTCACGGACTTTTCCTGACCTGGGCTGGCTTTGAACCGTGGTCCTCAGATCTCAGTCTCCTGAGTAGCTAGGATGCCAGATGTGAGCCACTGGCGCCTGGCTAACTCCCATATTTTTTGCTTTATTTTTCAAATAGGGTCTTGTGTTTATGTGTAGGCTGGCTTGAACCATGAGCCTTCTACCTGTACCACCCCTTAGCTGGGGTTAAAGGCACATACCACCACAGCTGAGCTTATTGGTTGTGATGAAGGTTTCATGTTTTCTGGGCTACCCTTGACCCAGAATTCTCTTGATCTTGGCCTCTATTCCTAGCAACTTGGAAGATTGAGCTCTGAGGACCAATGTTCAAAGCCAGCCCAGGAAGACAAATCTGTTGATATTTTAACCTTCAATGAGCTAGCAAAAAGCCTGAGAAGCTGGGCGCTGGTGGCTCATGCCTGTCATCCTAGCTACTCAGGAGGCTGAGATCTGAGAATCGGGGTTCAAAGCCAGCCTGGGCAGAAAAGTCTGTGAGACTCTTATCTCCAATTAAGCACTCAGAAAATCAGAAGTGGCGCTGTGGCTCAAGTGGTAGAGTGCTCCCCTTGAGCTGAAGAGCTGAGGGACAGCGCCCAGGCCCAGAGTTCAAGCCCCAGGACTGACAAAAGAAGAAAATTAAAAGAGCCACCGGGGCCCAGTTTGGGGGTTCTTATATATATGAGTCTTGATTCCCAAATAGCATCTGTAGTGATCTTATTATTTTTCTTTTATTTATTTATTTATTTGTGGTTGTTGTTCTGATCTTATTATTTCAGTAGCTTGTTCAAAGAGGCTTTGACTCAACAAGCCAGATGAGGGGTACAATGCATCTTGTTCAAGTTCACCCCTTCCACCATTCTTCCCCTAGTTTTCCAACCCCACCCCACCTCCGAATACAATGATCTCCTCACCCCCCCCCCATGTTGATGCTTTTGTCTTTTTCAGATTTCAAGGTGGAGAATTTTCAGGTCCCAATATGAAAATGCTGGCCATTTTATTTCTTATTGCTGTTTGTTCCTACGTTTGTGAGAACCAAGATTCTGGTAAGGAAAACAAAATGGGGAGGATTCTTTCCCAATATTTTTACATATAACAACTAGATAAGTGAGTTGAACCCAATTTAATGATGTTCACCTTTTGATTTTGGTGCTAGCAAGGGTAGGTATTGAGAGACAGTTTTCTTTTTGCCAGTCTTGGGGCTTGAACTCAGGGCCTGGGCGCTGTCCCTGAGCATTTGCTCAAGGGGAGTGCTCTACCACTTGAGCCACAGTGCTACTTCTAGTCTTTTCTGTGTATGTGGAACTGAGGAATCGAACCCAGGGCTTCATGCATGCTAGACAAGCACTCTACCACTAAGCCACCTTCCCAGCCCCAAGAGACAGTTTTCTTGAAATTATATTGTGTTCCTTTGAAAATCCTAGACCTTATTCCTTAGTAACAACGAAAAGGCAAGAAAGGTGGCATTTTCTCTTCTGAGTCAACCCATTTCAGGTCTGCTGGCAGGTTACATAAAAGTTCTGTGACTCTTAGGTTCAGGTCTCAAAAATTTGTAATGTCCCTGCTGCTTCTGTGCCAAAAGTCTATCCTGGTTACATGTTTACATTTTTGTATTAACATGAGCAGTTGGCCTGTTTCTTGTAAAGAATATTCATTTTTCTTGTGTACACTCTGAAACGTTTCTAGCTGTCCACCATCAACAGCTGTGGTTAGCAGTTTATATTCAGTGGAATTAAAGTCAGAACATTTGGTCTGTCCTTGCTCAGTCCTGCCGCCTCTCACCAATTTTCTCCCATGCTGCCTCCTTTGGGGCCAGCACCTCCCAAAATGGCTTTTATGCTGACTTAAGGACTCTGGCCTTGGAAGCAAATTTATTATTTTCTAGTCCTGGGGCTGGAACTCAGGGCCTGGGCACTGTCTCTTGAGCTTCTTTTGCTCAAGGCTAACACTCTACGACTTGAGCCACAGCTCTACTTCTGGCTTTTTCGTGGTTCATTGGAGGTAAGAGTCTCTCAATTTTTCCCGTCCTGGCCTGGCTTTGAACCACAGTCCTCAGATCTCAACCTTCCAAGTAGCTAGGATGACAGACATGAGCCTACCAGCACCAGCCAATCAGCTAAATCTTTGCAAAAATGATCAGTGTAATTTTGGGATCCATTTCAACTGAGAAGGTCTATGAAAGAAATAGCCCAAGACCTACATCTTTTCCCTAGAGGAAAAAGTATAGTTTTAAGCCATTATTTTCCAGTCTATTTGGAAGTGGCTAAAAAAGAAAAAAGTAATTGAAAGAGAATTTTCTTCTTCTTTTTTAAATCATTGGCATGCTGGGTGCTGGTGGCTCACGCCTGTCATCCTAGCTACTCAGGAGGCTGAGATCTGAGGATCGCGGTTCAAAGCCAGCCCGGGCAAGGAAAGTCTGTGAGACTCTGATCTCCAAAAACCACTCAGAAAACCTGAAGTAGCACTGTGGCTCAAGTGGTAGAGCGTTTGCCTTGAGCTAGAGAGCTGAGGGACAGCTCCCAGGCCCAGAGTTCAAGCCCCACAACCGACCAAAAAAAAAAAAAAACAAACCCAAAAAATCATTGGCATGAAACATTTTTGTTTGTGTTCCTGGTGATACAGGCCCTGAGTATGCAGACGTGGTGTTTCTGGTGGATAGCTCCGATCACCTGGGAATTAAATCCTTCCCTCTGGTGAAAGCATTCATCAACAAAATGATCAACAGTATCCCCATTGAACCCAACAAATACCGTGTGGCGTTGGCCCAGTACAGCAATACCATGCACAGTGAGTTCCACCTGAACACCTTTCGGAGCAGAAATCCCATGCTCAACCACCTCAAGAAGAACGTGAGCTTCCTTGGCGGTTCCCTGAAGATAGGAAATGCCTTGCAGCAAGCGCACCAGACTTATTTCTCTGGGCCTGCCAATGGGAGAGATAAGAGGCAGTTTCCCCCCATTTTGGTGGTGCTGGCTTCGGCAGCGTCTGAGGATGATGTGGAAGAGCCTTCCAAGGCCCTACAGCGAGATGGGGTGAAAATCATCTCCGTGGGGCTGCAGAAAGCATCTGAGGAAAACCTGAAGCTCATGGCCACCCCGGGGTTGCACGTCCACCTCCGGACCGCCAGGGAGCTCAGTACCTTCTCCCAGAACATGACCGAGATCATCCAGGCTGCCATCAAGCATCAAGATGGAGCAGCTGATGACATCCTTGTAGAAGGTAGGCCTTGGGGCTGCATGCGTGAGAATGCTGGGAAAATCCTCCTGATGCTGGTAATCACGCCTGTCTTCCTAGCTACTCAGGGAGGCTGAGATCTGAGGATCACAGTTCAAAGCCAGCCTAGGCAGGAAAAGTCTATGAGACTCTGATCTCCAGTGAACCAACAGAAAACCAGAAGTGACGCTGTGGTTCAAGTGGTAGAGCGCTCGCCTTGAGCTGAAGAGCTGAAGGACAGTGCCCAGGCCCAGAGTTCAAGCCCCATGACTGACAAAAAACAAAAACCATACAAGAAAAACAAGCTAAGGTAAGTTAGTAACTAAGGCAATTTATTATTATTGTTGTTATTATTCAGAGGGGTTACCACTACATTAGTCAGGTAACAGGTATAGTTGTTAGCAGTAATTTAAATTTTAAAACAAACTCATATTAACCAACTTTATAGAAAGCGAGTAACATTTTCCTAAAATTAAAATGAAGACTTGGTGAGGAAAAAAGAATTATAACACCGTGACAGCAGAAAATTAAGTCTAAGGTCCTGTATGACTTCACATGACTCATTTTCTTTTCTTTTAAAAAAAATTAACCATTATGAAGTTCATTTCTGCATAGCTCAGATATAGCCATAGTTCAAACACAGTGATGCATTCTTTTTACAATGGTTATTACAGTTTCGTGAGTCAGGTAATGAGTACATTTCTTTTTTTGGTCGTGGGGCTTGAACTCTGGGCCTGGGCGCTGTCCCACAGCTCTTCAGCTCAAGGCAACTGCTCTACCACTTGAGCCACAGCCCCACTTCTGGTTTTCTAATGGTTTATTGGAGATAAGAGTCTCACGGACTTTCCTGCTTGGGCTGGCTTTGAACCGTGAGCCTCAGATTTCAGCCCCCTGAATAGGATGACAGGTGTGAGCCACCGACGCCCGGCTTTCTGTTTCATTTGAAGATAGGGTCTCCATTTTTTCTTTTTCCCAAATGAGTCTGGATTACAGTCTTTCTACCTATGGCCTCCTTTGTAGCTGGGCTGACACAAGTTTTTTAAAATTTAAACTTAAATTTTGCCAGTCTTGGGGCTTGAACTCAGGGCCTGGGTGCTGTCCCTGAGCTTCTTGTACTCAATACTAGCACTGTACCACTCAAGCCACAGCGCCACTTCTGGCTTTTCCTGTGTGTGTGGTACTGAAGAATCGAACCCAGGGCTTCATGCATGCTAGGTGAGCACTACCACTGAGCCACCTCCCTGCCCTGGGCTGACAGAAGTCCGCACCCTACTCCTTGCTTATTTGCTTATATGATCAAGTCCTGTTTACATTATTATTATTTTGCTTGGGCTGACCTCCAAATGCAATCCTCCTTTTTCTCTGCCTCCCCCAGTAGCTGGGATTATAAGCTTGAGCTACGGTACCTGGATTCCTCTTTGTTTCCATATACCCCTGAGTTTGGCTGGGGTTCAGTAGAGAGAGTGAGCCTGGCGTTAAACCTGTCCATTTCATTCCTCTCCACGCAGTGTGCCAAGGTCCTTTGGTAGCCGATCTGGTTTTCCTGCTGGACATGTCCCTCAACGACAGCCAGGAGAATCTTGACTCCCTGAAAGCCTTCCTGGAGGAGAGCGTAGCTGCCCTGGACGTAAAGGCAAGCTGCACGCGGGTTGGCCTGGTGGTTTACAGCAACGAGACCCGAGTCATCAGCCATCTGAGCGCAGGCCTGAATAAGTCAGAAGTTCTCCAGCACATAGAAGACCTGGTGCCGGAGCCGGGGCCGGCCTACACGGGGGCTGCCATCAGGAAAACCAGGAAGGAAGTGTTCAACATCCAGAGGGGCAGCCGGAAGCAGCAGGGGGTCCCCCAGATCGCCGTGCTGGTGACCCACCGAGCGTCGGAGGACAATATCACCAAGGCAGCCGCTAGCCTTCGCAGAGAGGGCGTCACCATCTTCGCCATGGGCGTGGCAGATGCCAGCCAATCCCAGCTGGAGAAAGTGGCCTCCCACCCTGCCGGCCAGCACCTGTCCATGCTGAGTACTTTCTCCGACCTGGCGGCCCACAACCAGACGTTCCTGAAGAAGCTCCGGAAGCAGATCACCCACAGCGTGACCGTGCTGTCGGAAAGGACACAGTCCCTGAAGTCTGGTGAGGCCTGGGCAGGCCGCTAGCAGTTTGTAACCTTCTTCCCTTCCTTCCTTCCTTCGTGGTCTTGGGAACATCAGTGGCTCCCGCCTGTCATCCTAGCTACTCAGGAGGCTGAGATCTGAGGATCACGGTTCAAAGCCAGCCCCCCCGGGGAAGGAAAGTCTGTGAGACTCTGATCTCCAGTGGACCACCAGAAAACCAGAAGTGGTGCTGTGGTTCAAGTGGTAGAGCACCTGCCTTGAGCTGAAGAGCTGAGGGACAGCGCCCAGGCCCACGGTTCAAGTCCCATGACTGACCAAAATAAATAAATAAAAATGGGGCTGGTGGGAACGAAACAGTTGGACAGAAGGAGTTACTCCTTTTTAGCCTCAGGATTTAATCTGGTACTCTTGGCTGCTAGGATTATAGGCAAAAGTCACCAGTGCCCAGCTTTATATTTTGTGTGTGTGTATCTGTCTGTAAATACTTCACCATGTGCTACATTCCCAGCTCTCTTTTCCTTCCTCTCCTTCCCTTATACCCAAATTCCAACATAGGGAATAAATGAAGTTTAGACAGAAGATAAACACTTGATTAAGTACCAGTCAAGTCTGCAGTTTAGAGAGGAGACAGGGTGATGTATTTTGTCTGGATGCTCTCTGCATGGGCCCCCATGTATGTTATATAAATATTTCTACGGAGGGGTATATACATTCATGTGCATGTATAAATTCTGCAGCAAATATTTATATCATGCTTCCTCTGGATATGTCTTAGATGGGGTCACCATAATTGTGTGGGCGCTGTCCCTGAGGCACATCAGCTCAAGGCGAGTGCTCTACCACTTGAGCCACAGCGTCACTTCCAGTTTTCTGAGTAGTTACTTGGAGATCAGAGGCTCACGGACTTTCCTGCCTGGGCTGGCTTTGAACCATGATTCTCAGCTCTCAGCCTCCTGAGTAGCTAGGATGACAGGTGTGAGCCACCAGCGCCCAGCATGAGTGAAGAATCATATTTGACAGTAAAGCTGGGCTCTTCCTGTTTATCCAGATTCATGACACGGCTCTAGATAAATGATCTTGAAGGAATCAGACGTGATTGTATTTGCTCCAATAAATGCTAAGATTCCCAGATTCCCCCCTCCACCCCACCACCCTCCAATTCTGGCCTAGCAGAGCAAGTAGCCTGTGTTAAAAGCCCTTTCTTGTTTTCTGTGCATTTTCCCTCTCTGAACCCCCTTTCCCCCTTCTGGTCCTATTTCAGCTTGCGTGGACACCGAGGAAGCTGACATCTATCTACTGATCGATGGCTCGGGGGACATCCAGGCGGCAGACTTCCACGAGATGAAGTCCTTCCTGTCCGAGGTGGTAGGGATGTTCAACATCGCTCCCCACAAGGTACGAGTTGGGGCCGTTCAGTACGCGGACAGCTGGGACTTAGAATTTGAGATCGACAAGTACTCCAGCAAGCAGGACCTGGGGAAAGCCATCGAAAACATCCGTCAGATGGGGGGCCGAACCCACACAGGGGCGGCCCTGAACTTTACCCTGAAGCTGTTGCAAGAGGCCAAGAAGCAACGGGGAAACAAAGTGCCCTGTCACCTGGTGGTGCTTACCAGCGGCATGTCGGAGGATAGCGTCTTGGAGCCTGCACACAGACTGAGAAATCAGAACATCCGGGTCTACGCCATCGGCGTCGGGGAAGCCAACCAAACCCAGCTGCAAGAACTGGCAGGCGAGGAGAAGAGGGTGTACTACGTGCACGACTTTGACGCCCTGAAGGACATTCGCAATCAGGTGGTACAGGAGATCTGTGCCGAGGAAGGTAGGAGAGGCCCCCCTGGATTTCAGTGCTCATGTGCATGCCGGTTAGGTTAGGCTTTGGTGCTGTTGGAAGAGCATCTGGCTCACACCTGTAATCCCAGCCACTCAAGAGGCTGAGATCAGAGGATCGCCGTTCGAAGCCAGCCCAGATGGTAAAGTCTGTTGAAACTCTTGTCTCCAGTCCACCAGCCGGAAGTTGCAATTGGGGCTGTGGCTCAAGTAGTAGAACACCAGCCTTAAATGAAAGAGCTAAGCCAGACTATGAGGCTCGAGTTGTTGCTTTTGTTGTTGGTCGGTCATGGGGCTTGAACTCTGGGCCTAGGCGCTGTCCCTAAGTTCTTCAAGTCAAGGCAAGCGCTCTACCACTTGGGCCACAGCACCACTTGTGGTTTTCTGGTGGCTCATTGGAAATGAACCTCATGGATTTTCCTGCCCGGGCTGGCTTTAAACCACGATCCTCAGATCTCAGCCTCCTGAGTAGCTAGGATGACAGGCGTGAGCCACCGGTGCCTGATGAGGCTCTAGTTTTAATGTCAACACCAGCATACAAACGCATACATACTTACAGGAAGGAATTGCTTCAAATATCACTGTTTAGATATTAATATCACTAGATATTAAAGCAGCATGACAAGAGGCTCTTAGTTGTATTCTAGAGAGCATAATTATACAAGTCAACCCAGCTTCGCATAGGAACAAATACTTATTGTGTGTGTGTGCGTGTGCATTGGTCGGTCGGTCCTGGGGCTTGAACTCACACCTTGGGTGCTGTCCCTGAGCTTTGCTGCTTAGGACGAGCACTCTACCAAGTGAGCCATGCCTCTTACTGGTGTTTTAGTGGTTCATTGGAGAAGAGTCTCACGGACTTTCCTACTCAGGCTGGCTTCTAAGCAAGATCCTCAGATCTCAGCCTCTTGGGGTAGTTAGTGGACACGTGTGAGCCACCGGTGCCCCGCTCTTTTATTGTCTTTTTTTCTTTTTTTGTTGGTTGTGGGGCCTGAACTCTGGGCCTGGGCGCTGTCCCTCAACATTTCAGCTCAAGGCGAGTGCTCTACCACTTGAACCACAGCATCATTTCCAGCTTTTTCTGCTTATGTGGTGCTGAGGAATGGAACCCAGGGCCTCATGCATGCAAGGCAAGCGCTCTACCACTGAGCCACCTTCCCAGCCCTTCTCTTTCTTTCTGGTTGGTTGTGGGGCTTGAATTGAGGGCCTGGGTGCTGTCCCTAAGCTTTTTTGCTCAAGGCCAGCACTCTATCTCTTTGAACCAGTTTTCTGGTCGTTTATTGGAGATAAGAGTCTCACAGACTTTCCTGCCCAGGCTGGCTTTCAACCATGATCCTCGGATCTCAGCCTCCTGAGCAGCTAGGATGACAGGCGTGAGCCACTAGCACCTGGCTTATTTGCCTTTCTTTGTTTTTTTTTTTTTAACTTTCCTACTAGGTATCACTGCTGAGCACCTTCTTCAAAATAGAATTCTTAGTGACTCAGATTTTTGAATAGACTTGATTAACACCCCGATGTCTTCCCTCACAGCCTGTAAGGACATGAAAGCTGACATCATGTTTCTGGTGGATAGTTCCGGCAGCATCGGGCCTGAAAACTTCAGCAAAATGAAAATCTTCATGAAGAATCTAGTGAGCAGGTCTCAGATCGGGGCGGACAGGGTTCAGGTTGGTGTGGTCCAGTTCAGTGACGTCAACAGGGAAGAGTTTCAGCTGGGCACGTTCAGCACCCAAAGCGACATCTCCAACGCCATAGACCAGATGGCTCACATCGGAGAAACTACCTTGACCGGAAGCGCCCTGACCTTCGTGGCCCAGTACTTCAGCCCCACCAAGGGGGCTCGGCCCGGAGTCAGGAAGTTTCTTCTCCTCATCACAGACGGTGAAGCTCAGGACGCAGTGAAGGAGCCGGCCGAAGCACTGCGACAAGATGGCGTCATTATCTACTCTGTAGGAGTCTTCGGCTCCAATGTCACCCAACTGGAGGAGATCAGTGGGAGGCCCGAGATGGTTTTTTATGTGGAGAACTTTGATATTCTGCAACACATCGAAGATGACCTTGTGCTGGGCATATGCAGTCCCCAGGAAGGTGAGCCTGGGCCTAGTCACATCTTGAACTTTCTCTCCAAAGGCTGTGTCTGGAGGGGGGGGCGGTTGAGGGGAGTACTGGGAGTTGAACTCAGGACTTTATGCTTAATAAGCAGCTACTCTACCATTTTACCTCTTCTTCCAGCTCTACCCTTTTTTGTTGTTGTTGTCGTGGGTCAAAGGGCTTGAACCCTGGGCCTGGGCGCTGTCCCTAAGCTCTTCAGTTCAAGGCAAGTGCTCTACCACTTGAACCACAGCGTCACTTTCCGTTTTCTGGAGATCAGAGTCTCACTGATTTTCCTGCCTGGACTGGCTTTCTAACTGTGATCCTCAGATCTCAGCCTCCTGAGTAGCTAGAATGACAGGCTTGAGCCACCAACAGTTGACTTTTTTTTTTTTGCCAGTCCTGGGGCTTGAACTCAGGGCCTGGGCACTGTCCCCGAGCTGCTTTTGCTCAAGGCCAGCGCTCTACCACGTGAGCCACAGCCCTACTTCTGGCTGTTTCTGTTTATAGGGTCCTGAGGAATTGAACCCAGGGCTTCATGCATGCTAGGGAAGCACTCTACCATTTGAGCCACTTTCCCAGCCCCCACCTTCTTTTTTTCTTTTTTAATATTTATTTATTTTTGGGTCTGGTTGTGGGGCCTGAACTCTGGGTCTGGGCACTGTTCCTCAGCTCTTCAGCTCAAGGCCAGCATTCTACCACTTGAGCCACAGCCCCACTTCTGGCTTTTTCTATGTATGTGGTACTGAGGACTCAAACTCAGGTCTTCATGCATGCTAGGCAAGCACTCTACCACTGAGCTGCCTTCCCAGCCCCTATAAAAGATAACATTTTAACTAGCAAGCAACATCATGTGCACATATGCAGAACCGAAAAGGTGCATGTATTTAAAGTCAATATTAATTGTGTAGTATGGATCAATTATGACTCAGAGGAAGCGTATTTGCTGGGTTTATTTATTTTTTGTTGGTCATGGGGCTTGAACCCTGGGTCTGAGCACTGTCTCTCAGCTCTTCAGCTCAAGGCGAGCGCCACTTCCGGCTTTTTCCGGTTATGTGGTGCTGAGGAATCGAACCCAGGGCCTTATGTATGCAAGGCGAGCGCTCTACCACTGAGCCACCTTCCCAGCTCCTTGCTGGGTTTATTTAAGGCTTTTCCACTAAACGCAGGCAGTCCTGCTAGTTCATTGCTCGGCAAACACCAGGCCATTTGCTCTTAACCATTAGTCGCTGGAGAGGCCAGTGCCATGTGTAGCTCCCTCCTCCAACAACTCCAACTCCCACCGCAGCACACCAAGATCTGGAAAGAACACAGTGACTTTATGATATTCTTCTGAGTAACTGGAACAGAACGGGAGGTTACTGAAATTTGGAAATGAGAAGAATCAAGTATTCACTGATTTATTGAGGCTTTTATGCTAGACACAAAGAAGGAATTGCACAGAGGTTCCTTCAAAGGTAAATGAGGTCGTGACTCTTCCTTTGATCCTACAAGAGGATTAGAAATGGTTGAATGTAGCTGGGCGTGGTGGCTCACGCCTGTCATCCTAGCTCCCCAGGAGGCTGAGATCTGAGGATCACAGTTCAAAGCCAGCCCGGGCAGGAAAGCCTGTGAAACTCTTATCTCCATTAAACCACTCAGAAAACCAGAAGTGGTGCTGTGGCTCAAGTGGTAGAGCACTGGCCTTGAGCTGAAGAGCTGAGGGACAGTGCCCAGGCCCAGAGTTCAGGCCCTATCACCAATCAAAAAAAAAAAAAAAGAAAAAACAAACAACAACAACCCACCCAAAGAACCCAATGCTGACTATGAGCCTAATAACAGAGGCCCTCTGCAAAATTTCTAGAAGGAGATGGAACTTATTGGAGTTCTAAGGGAGGAAAACTTCTTTCAAGTCACAGTTCCATTAACTCCCACTAAAACATTTGATAAGACCTGGTCTGTGTTTCGTAGGAAAAAGAAAGGAGTCTTCTTGGCCTTTTATTCCTTGGTAATTCCATCCGTAATAAATACAAACTCTCGGCCACTTGGCAACCTTCAAGCAGTCTTAGCCCCACGTCTCCTATGGGATGGCAGCTGGCTTCACAGCTCACCAAAGGGCCGCGAGCGATCTGGGATCTTTTGGTGAAATCAGCTTTTCTGAAGAATCAGGTCTTAGGGCTTTGTCCACATGGCTTTGCGGACAGTGGTAAGGAGCTTTGGTTTTCTCATGTTCAGCAGCTTACCACGTGGCCTCCTTGTGACTTCTTAGGAAAGAAGAAAATGTAGGAGGCTTGTGTGTATGTGGTGTGGGGGGAAATACTTTCTGACAGTTCTGTTTCTCAGGAACGGTTGACATCATGTTTGGATCCTAGGTCTGGATCAAGATGGCGCCATATTAGGACGGGATGATTAACCGTCTTTCAATCCCTCTTCTCCAACTTGGCATGGCTGAATTCCTTTCTGTGGGCCACCGTGTTCTTCCTGTGTGCTTTTCCCTGGCATTGACCTCCACTTTCAAACACCGAGGAAGACGGTGGGGCTAGGGCCACTGAGTGAGGCCGAATGAGAAATGAGTTCATTTGTATGATGAGGTCCAATCATACAAAGCGATCTTTGAAGAAAGTCAAAAAGGGAGAAATTAGAAGCTTCCAACTGAGCTACGCGAGAACCATAAAAAAAAAAAAGAGAGAATGGCCAAATTCATTTTTATTTGGTCATTTCCCCCAAGGTTTAGTTGGAGAGTAAAGTTTCAAGATCCCTAGGTCTTAAAAAAAAAAGACAATATTTAAATAAATGAAAACACATGTTGGAGGAACCCGTTATAGGAGAAAAATGACACGGAACTGTGATTTTCCTTTTAGCCCCAAAGATTTAGGAATCCTTCTTGCCTTCCCTCCCTTCTTTTTCTCCCTCCCTCCCCTCCTCCCTCCCCTCCTTCCTTCCTTTCTCCTTCCCTCCCCCTTCCTTCCTTCCCCTCCTCTACTTCCTTCCTTCCTCCCTCCCTCCCTCCTCTCCTCTACTCCTTCCCGCCCTTCCCCTTTCTGTCCTTCCTTCTTTCCTTCCTCCCTCCCTTCCCTCTTCCCTTCCCCCTTCCCTTTCCTTTCCTTCCCTTCTGTCTTCCCTTCCCCCTTCCCTTCCTTCTTCCCTTCCCTCTCCAAATTTCCTTCTCCTATCCCTACCTTCCTTCTTTACTCCATGTCTTTCTCTCTTTCCCTCTGCTCCTTCCCTTTCCCTCCCCTTTCCTTCTTTCTGTGCCCTGGCACTGTCCCATAACTTTTTATTTATTTATGTTGCCAGTCCTGGGGCCTGGGCACTGTCCCTGAGTTTCTTTTACTCAAGGCTAGCATTCTACCACTTGAGCCACGGCGCCACTTCTGGCTTTTGCTGTGTATGTGGTACAGGGGAATCATGCATGCTAGGCAAGCTTCATGCATGCTAGGCAAGCACTCTACCACTAAGCCACCTTCCCAGTGGCTCCCCCCCTCCAACTTTTTCATTCAGGGCTGGTACTCTACCACTTGAGCCATACCTCCACTTTGGGATTTTTGCTAGTTCATTGGAGATAAGAGTCTCAAGGACTTTCCTGCCTAGGCTCACTTCAAACCTTGCTCCTCAGATCTCAACCACTTGAGTAGCTGGGACGTCAAGGGTGAGCCACCGGTGCCTGGCTCCACCAGAAATGTAAGAACAAAGTGGAAGGCATCTCCCATGCTACCCAGAGCTGGTGTCAGCTGATTTCCGTCCCCGCCCCCCTTCTCTTCCAGAATGCAAGCGGATTGAAGTTTTAGACGTCGTGTTCGTGATCGACAGCTCGGGCAGCATTGACCATGACGAATATAGCATCATGAAAGATTTTATGATCGGCTTGGTAAGGAAGGCCGACGTGGGCAAGAACCAAGTCCGGTTTGGCGCTCTGAAATACGCCGACGACCCCGAAGTGCTCTTTTACCTGAATGCCCTGGACACGAAATCAGAGGTGATTTCCACCATCCAGCACGATCAACCTATGGGGGGCAACACGTACACGGCCGAAGCGCTGGCCTTCTCCGATCACATGTTCACCGAGGCCCGGGGCAGCCGTTTGCACCAGGGAGTCCCCCAAATCCTCATGGTGATCACCGACGGGGAATCCCACGACGCCGAGAAACTCAACACCACGGCCAAGGGCCTGCGGGATAAAGGCATCGTGGTGCTGGCCGTGGGCATCGCGGGTGCCAACCCCGTGGAGCTGCTGGCCATGGCCGGGTCACAGGACAGGTACTACTTCGTGGAGACTTTTGGAGGCCTCCAGGGTATCTTTTCGGACGTGTCTGCCAGCGTGTGCAACTCTTCTAAAGTAGGTAAGGCTCCCAACACCTTCTCCAGAGAGAAAATAAGGGCCAGGATGGGTTGGAAAACTTAGCACGGGACCAAGTAGCAAGCTTTAGAAAGAGCTCCAGGATGGTTGGATAGATCACCTATGTCTGTCTGCCTCCCTTCCCCTCTCCTCCCCTTCCCTCCCTCTATCTTTCTTTTTCTTTTTTTTTAAACTCAGGGCCTAATACTCTTGCTTGCTTTTTTTTTTTTCTTCTTTTATTGTGTTGAGCCTGAGCACTGTCCCTGAGCCTTTCTGCTCAAGGTGAGTTAGTGCACTTGAGCCACAACCCCGCTTCCAGACTTTTTTTTTTTTCTTTTTTGCTGGTTCATTGGAGATAAGAGGCTCAAGGTCTTTCCCTAACCAGGCTGACTTGAACCTGCCCTGCTCAGATCTCAGCCTCCTTAAGTAGCTAGGATGACAGGTGTGAGCCATTGGAGCCTGGCTGAACATATTTTTCATTAAATGAGTTGCTATTCGTCCAGCAGTGCCAACATCTGGGTACAGTTCCTTTGTAAAATCATTTGGCTTCTCTAGTTTTCTTTTTCTTTTTTTTTTTTTGGTAAGTCGTGAGGCTTGAACTCTGTGTCTGGGCACTGTCCCTCAGCTCTTCAACTCAAGGCGAGTGCTATACCACTTGAGCCACAGTGCCGCTTCCGGTTTTCTGGTGGTTCATTGAAGATCAGAATCTCATGGACTTTCCTGCCCAGGCTGGCTTTGAACCATGATCCTCAGATCTCAGCCTCCTGAGTAGCTAGGATGACAGGTGTGAGCCACTAGTACCCCGGCTGCTTGTCTAGTTTTCCTATGCCTTGTCTCCTGGAAATGTTTTGTTTTTTTCTTTTGACCAAACTAACAAAATCTCTCTGGATCTTACTAAAAACAACAATTTTTTTTTCACCTCTTGGTGATGAATAGCTAAAATTTGATCTATTCCTCTCAAGTGTCCTTGGAAAGTTGACATCTATTTTTGTGTTTCTAATTGGAAGTTCTCCTTGAAGCAGGAAAACAGTACTTACTCGTGGTTCATTGGAGATACGAGTCTCACAGACTTTCCTGCCTAGGTCTAGCTTTGAACTGAAATCCTCAGATCTCAGCCTCCTGAGTAGCTAGGATGACAGGCATGAGCCACCGGCGCCCACCTCATATTCTTTTTATATTTTCTATGTTAATACAGGGAAGGCATCGTACTATATTGTGTTGTGTACTCAAGAATATTTTCTCTAAAATAGGTAGTTTTGTTTTGTTTTGTTTTGGTCTCCATGCACCACAAAGACGGCTGATATAAGATGAAGCCAAATAGATACGCATCAGAAATCATGCTTTTACACTCTCCCCTCACTTCTTCCTTCAAAATCGAGAAAAAAATTTATTGCTCAACTAACCAAAGAGGCTAAGTCAATAATACACACCATCTGTTTCTATTTGAATCCCTACATGGATAAATGTCATTATTAATTATTATTAATTATTATTATATGCTATGTTACTACTAATCGTAGGCTTTCCAGAAACTTTAAAGATAACAAGTTTGTGTGTGTGTGTGTCATTCCATAACTAGTTCTCTGATTTTGCAGAAATGAAAATAGTGTAATACCAAAGTGGACAGGCCAAGAAAAATAGAAAAGGCCACGTGAGTGGTTTATCTCTTGTTGCCTTTTTAAAAGAATTCTTTGGACTTATTTCCTATCCAATTAAGTGCTTCACATGCTAGCATAAGATAAGACACTGCTTTGAGAAACATGATTTATTATGTATGAATTTATTTTTGTCGGTTGTGGGGCTTGAACTCTGGACCTCGGCGCTGTCCCTGAGCTCTTCAGCCCAAGGCGAGCGCTCTACCACTTGAACCACAGCACCACTTCTGGCTTTTTCTGCTTATGTGGTGCTGAGGAATCGAACTCAGAGCCTCATGCATGTGAGGCAAGCACTCTACCACTAGCCACCTTCCCAGCCCATATCGTTTATTTTTAAATTAAAATATTATCTGGTGGCTAGTGGCTCATGCCTACAATGGTAGCTACTCAGGAGGCTGAGATCTGAGGATCACAGTTCTAAAGCTAGTCTGGGCAGAAAAATCCATGAGACTCTTTATCTCCAATTAACCACCAGAAAACTGGAAGTGGGATTGTGGTTCAAAATGGTAGAGCACTACCTTTGAGTACAAAAGCTCAGGGACAGTGCCCAGGTCCTGAGTTCAAGCCCCGCAATTGACCATAAAAATAAAAAGAAACTTATCAACATTAATTAGTTGAACAAAGGGGGAGTATTCACATTACCATACATGAGAACAATAGATTTCTAGCAACACCCTCCATTCAAATTACTGTCCAATATTCTTTCCTCCTTTAAGTTTAATTTTTGGTGTGCTAGTACTAGACCTTGAACTCAGGGCCTAGGTGCTATCTTTCAGCTTTTTCATTCAAGGCTGGTACCACTTGAGCTATATCTCCATTTCTGGGTTTTTGTCAGTTAATTGGAGAGAAGAGACCCACGGGCTTTCCTGCCCAGGTAGCTTCAAACTACGATCCTCAGATCTCAGCCTCCTGAGTCACTAGGAGCACAGACGTGAGCCACCGGTGCCCAACATTGTTCTTTTCATATGTGCAAATAAACCGAGACCTCATTTTACCCTCTTCATCGAAATCATTTCTATGTAGATGCAAATACTTACTCCTGAGGGGTGAAAGAAGTCACGGCTCCTGCTGCTAATTTGCTCTCTGCCTTCCTTTTCTAGACTGTGATATTGACAAGGTAGACTTGGTGTTCCTCATGGATGGATCCAACAGCATCCACCCAGAGGACTTCAAGAAGATGAAGGCATTTCTCACGTCGGTCGTTGATGACTTTGACGTCGGCCTCAACAGGGTGCAGATAGGCGTGGCCCAGTTTAGCCACACGTACCGCCCCGAGTTTACCCTGGGCACCTTCACGGGCAGAAAGAAGATCGGGCTGGAGATCGAGAAGATCCAGCAGATTTTCGGGTACACTCACATTGGGGCTGCGCTCCGGCAGGTGGCTCGTTACTTCCAGCCAGACACGGGGAGTCGGATCCAGGAAGGTACTGCGCAGGTGCTGCTGGTCCTCACCGATGGCCAGTCCCAAGACGACGTGGCCCCGGCCGCCCTGGAGCTGAGACACCAGGGTATCACCATCTACTCCGTGGGCATCGGGGACGTGGACCACCAGCAGCTCTTGCAGATCACCGGCTCGGCCGACCGGAAGCTGACAGTTCATAATTTCGATGAACTGAGAAAGGTGAAGAAGAGGATCGTTCGCAACATTTGCACATCGGGGGGCGAGAGCAGTAAGTATTTCATAAAGGTTCCATATATATATCTCTATATATGTACATATGTAAAATGTCCCTTCTGTCTTCCCGGACATTTTCCTCCCCTCCAGAGCTTTTCCTAAAGTCGCTGGGAGAATTTCGATTGGTTGGCTCCGATTGGAATGGGAGCTTTTTCCACAGTTGTGTGTGTGTGTGTGTGTG